TTTAAGTTCTTGCTGCTTCTACATTTCTTTGCAGACATCTTATCTAAAGTGAATAAAGTTTCTGAGCAGATACAAGATCCAAAGTAAGATTTGGCGAAAGCATGCCAACTTATTTCCACACTTCAACAACAAGAGTTAGAATGTCGAAGGAATTCAGAGTGGTTAACTACAGCGAAGATGTTGAGAAATTATGCAGGAAATGCAACATTTACATTGAAAAGAAACCGCGTCGGTCTAAAGAGTTGCCAGAGGCTCTTCGAGATTTTGCAGTAACCGATGGCATTGGGAAGTCAGCAACTGTAAATCCAGAGATACCGTTCCATGCTGATATTATTCTTCCAATCCTGGATTGTATGCTGTCAGAGCTGGATAAGTAGAAGATTTTCCTGTGATTCCAAAGAAATCTTGCGACACTTTCACCCACATATGAAAGCTTTTTAGAATACCAAGCATGGCATGGAGGTACCAATTATGTTATGATGGACTGGTCCATGAGATTCCTTTGGTAAAGAGACTTGTTGGCGATAAGTGCAAAACGGTTTTAGAGTTTCTCTTAGAAATTTGCCCCTACAAGCAGGCATTCGATTGCCTGCATAATTTATTGTTGATTTCGGTAACGTTGCCTGTAATCACTGCGAAAAAAGCTTCTCAAAAATGAAAATTGTCAAAATATTTGTGAGAAATTCAATGTGTCACGACCAGTGGCGTAACGCAGTTTAGGCGACCTTAGTTCGAGAACTAAGGGCCCCCGACCAAAAAGGGGCCCCCACCAAATTTTTCGTATTGTGTGCTTTTTGCCCATGTTGACAACCCCACCCCAAAAGTTCTTACTAAACAGTGTTGCTAACACAACACTGGATTCATTCATTCTGTTTTGTTTTGTTTATTCGCTATAATTCTTCAATGGCTTATTTCAATTATAAATAACGATCAATGTAGTAAATTGTACCAGGACAAATTTTTTAAAATAATTTTTAAAATTTGTTTCAATTATACTGACAATGGCAGCTGTGACCTTGGCATTCAGAGGGCACAGAGAGCAGGTACATGATAATGTGTGTAAAGGTGGGAACTTCTTGGCATTGGTCTCTCTTATGGCTGAATATGATGAATTTCTAGCAGAAGTTTTATCTCTTCCAGGTAGAGCAACAAAATACCTTAGCGCTAAGATCCAAAATGAGCTGATTCACTTGCTTGCAAATACTGTATCCTCGACTTTGGTAGAAAATATTGATTCCGCACCATTCTGGAGTATAATCTTGGATTCCACCAGAGTCGACCAATCAAGCGTTGTTATTAGGTGGGCAAAGGTAACAGAAGATGAATGCACAATTGTAGAAAATTTTATGGGTTTTGTGAAAATAAATAACGCCAATGCTGATGGTATAGCAAATACAGCTAAAGTATTTTTGAAAAATCTTGGCATAGATTTCTCGAAAATAAGAGGTCAGGGCTATGATGGTGCGAGTGTGATGAGTGGAATTCATCGTGGCGTACAAAAATTGATAAAAGATATGGTTAATTCTTCCGTTTCTTTTGTGCATTGTGGTTGCCATAATCTAAACCTGGTAGTAAACGATGCGGCGACATCACACGTTATGAGTGAAAACTTTTTTGCTACCCTTCGAGATTTCTTCAGTTGTTTTGGCTCTTCCTTTAATAGATGGAGAGATCTTGGAATCGAAGCTGGGAAAGGATCACTGACACTAAAAAAGTTATGTACAACACGTTGGAGCTTTTGCATTGATGCAGTGCCAGCTGTGCGTGACAAGTATCCCCAGATAATGAGGCCTCTGACGAGACTCATCTTAACATCAAACAACAAGAATGAGCGTGACAACGCAAAGAGTCTAAAGAAAAAAATTGACACACTGGAATTTGTTATTTTCCTTGTATTCTGGGAGAGAATACTAAAATCAGTCAATGCAGTATCAAAGGAGCTTCAGTCCTGATTGACTTGTCAGTTGCCTCTAGACACCTTAATATTGCATTTTCGGAGCTCCAATATCTTCGAGAATCATGGCAGTCTATAATGCTGACTGCCACAGCACTTGCAAAATCTTGGGATGGATCGCTAGAGTTTCAACAAAAGAGGGGTTAGGAAGGCAAGATATGAATCAGATGAACTTGTTGTAGATGGAAGACTGATGGATCCTGAGCAACGTTTTAAGATAAACGTTTTCTACAAGATACAGCATTGATGCAACTGACAGAAAGGTTCAAAGGACAAGCAATGATGACGTCATTATTCAGCTGTCTCTACCCCAACAACCTGGCAACACTGAGTCCTGACATGCTTGAAAATGCAGTACGAGTAATTCGTGAGAAATATCCAAATGACTTTACAGATGAAGTAGATTCTGAGATGAGATCTTTTGCAACCGAATTCAGAAACGAGATTGCAGTCAAGAAAACTGTTCTAGAAGTTAATAACCTCGTGCTTCAGAGCCATATTAGTTCATCCCTTCCAGAAATGTACAAGCTATTAACAGTTTTCATCACTTTGCCAGTAACTGTTGCATCGGCAGAAAGATCATTTCTAAAGTTGAAACTGAAAAAAACATATCTAAGATCTACAATGTCACAGGAGAGACTGGACGACCTAGCAATTTTGTCAATTGAGAACAAGAAAGCAAAGAAAATTGGCAAAACAAAGCTTATAAAGGATTTTGCCAACGTTCATGCACGTAGAAAAGCTCACGTTGTGAGCAAGAACACCTAATTACTGTTGGCTTTTTCATATGTAAACATTTTCTTTACAACATCACGTGCATTTCTCGAGGCACGATTTTAAACAATATCCCATTACCCCGAACCCCTTTGCCCCGTAGAGCTCACTTCACTTCGCACTTACTAAATTCCCCATCTTACTAACTTCCTAAGGGCCCCGAGTGTCTCTGTTACGCCACTGGTCACGACCGCCTGAGCCATCTAGCACTTCTGTCCATTGAATCCAATCGAGCTGAGTCAATAGACCTAGCACAGTTTGTTTTTGAGTTTGACTCACGACATGAAAATCGCCGTATCAAATAACACTAAACCAGATTTGGAAAGACAATTCAGACAATTTTGTAAAACATTTTTTTCTTGCTTGTAACAGGTTATTTTTGTTGCTTATAAACGTTGTTGTTGATTTTTAGGACAAGCGTTTTCTGCGAGACTCTCCTAACCTCTTCTGCAGGTGTCTTTTGCTTGATTTAAATAATATGAATTGCTCGGGCATTCTCTCTAAACTGCTGCATGCATTAATTATTCGCTAAATTTTTTGAAAGAAGAAGATTTAGAACACCTTTAAAGTAAGGCGTTATTTCATAAATACATTGTGTTCGTACACTACTATCCCAGGATTTTCTGAGATGCCCCCCCCCCCCAGTTTTCTCAGGCTAGTCTCGCCCCTGCGGATCGCACAGGAAGGTACTGCCATGCAAAGGCTAAATTTCTACTATTCACATTCTATTATTCCAATATTCCAGCATTCTAGCATTCCAACATTCCTTCCCTGTCTGTATACTTCCCTGTCTGGTGATCTAACTCGCGATGTTGCAATTTTTCGGATCTTTCTCCAAGATCTTGGGAAATCTTCGGTGCACTTTCAAACACTGAATGCAAACTCAGGGGCGGATACAGAGTAAAAGTTGACGGTCGCACAGAAACATTACCTAACAAGCGGTCTAGGGGGCCTCCCTCATGGTCAAGGGTAGAGCCATGATAGGGGCCCAGCCCCCTCCCCCCCCCGGAACGAGAGCAACTAGGTTTAATTTCAAAGGCAAAAACCCTAAAGCCCACAATGTCGATTATTGCAACCATCAGAAATAAAAGGAATAATTTCGCCTTTTTTCAAGAAAGTCATCTTGATTTTTGGTCTAGAACATTATTTTAATGTCTTGTATGCGTTAACTTTCTAACCTAACTGCGATTTGTCCCGCTAAGCAAGACGGATACACTTTCGGAAGTTGCCTCACCAACTAGGTTTACAGGCTTTGTAGTAGTTTTGAGAGTGGCGACGGGACTGGGGCCCTGAAACGTTCAAATTGTTTAGTCAAACATTTTTCCCTTTTTAAAGATTTTCCAAATTTTCCAGCAAATCCAAACACGCAGTTGAGACAAAATATCTTGAGATTCAAAAGTGTACACTTCCTGTGCACCTCTTCCGCGTGGATAAAGAAAAATTGGGATTCTTCTCCTTCACAACTTTCAACCTCATCCACTTTCTTCCCTTGCCAGCAGTTGTGCGGCATTTGCATAACAAAGAGCCTTGCATATTTGTGCGGCACGGGCGACATGCCTAAAAATCATACTGTTTTATAGATCTAACATAGTCTTTGAATTTCTTCTATATTTGATTAAATGGTGGCATTTTGTGCGAGATCGACCAAGGTTCGGGTGGTTCGGTCCTGTTTTTATTGTGTAAAGAGAGGTAAATGTATCATCTGTAAGGAGGGAAATAAGAGATTGTGATAAACATGATTGCCTTATTTCAACGACTGAAGACTAAATCTAAATTCTGAAAATCTGACGGTCTTCCGTGCGACCTGTGCGACACCCTGAATCCGCCCCTGAACTGACTATGCTCGCGCTACAACTGCTATAGTAATTAACAGCTTAGTTAGCCTAGCTCCGAAAAATGCAAATTTGAGAAAACCTACAATTTTAATAAACGAACACGATAAATCAACAACACGATAATTTAATAAACGAACACGACCGTCAACAACACGATAAATTCATGATTTCAATCAGCGAGCAGAGCCTAAGAAACTCACGAAATTAATCGACGAACAAGGTGACCATGGCCAAACGCATCAAATATTTCACCGAGCTTTGAGAACACTGCAAAAGTTTTTGAAGCCTATCAAACAAAGTTGAACCAACACAATAATGATCCAATACATGATAAAAAATCAAGGTGGTGAACCACATCACATTTTCCACAGAATGTTAAAGTTAGACATCGCTACGAGAAAACTTTGATGCCGTATGGCCAGGGCTTTTGCTCTTACCTGCTCCTGTGTCCTTTTTAATCATCCTTCCTCTTCCAGTTTGGTGTCCACCTACCATTCCTTTGCCTGCTACTTTCAGGTGCAGCTCGATTTGTAACTTTTTTACAGTTGCACCCTGGAGCGCTATTGTTTTTTGGAATTTCCCGCAGTGCTCATTTGGAAAATAATTATCGTAAAAACCAGACCCTAAGACCCAGGACCCTCAAGTACTAACTTCAAAAAGGACCCTTGCCGATGAGGAAGCATGCTGTAGTAGGCCCTGCCTAGAGTTTGTCGGAAAAAAGACCATATTTGCAGGAAACGCACCATTTCAAATGCTGCATAGCCCCCGTACAATTAAGTAAACTACATGTAATCAAACGAACCCCAAAATGACAGCTCTAACAGTTGAACCAAGCTGGGCAGAAGCATTGGCATCTCTTGAAATCCAGTACTTAAAGGGCCCTGGTCAACCAGTATGCATTGCGCGTCGTAATAATCGCAAAACATCCCGTTGAAACAAATAGCGCGACTTGGATCAGACTTTTTGTTCGCATCAGATTTTGTCTTGGAGAAATAGACGAGAAAGGATGAATATGTCAGGAGAAGATGAATCAGTTTTTGATGAACAACTTCAGGTAATTCAATTTTGATGTTTTTATCATGACAATAATAGAAACGCTGCTAAAATTCCAATGGCGGCCTAAATTTTTTTGTACACGCATGGCGGCCTAAAGTTTTTGAACGTTTTACGACTATTCTCTTTATACTAAATTTTAGCGAGAAACATGCATCTGCAGCACAACATGTTCAAAAAAAAGTGGAAAGAAGACTGGTTGCCCCTGTAAAGATAGGGGAGATAAATGCTGCGAGCAGTGTCTTTGTGGGAAGAAGAAACGAGGCGTAATAACTGGATGGTGCAAGAATGGAAAGGTTTGCGATCAAACGAATTATTTACTGATTTCTACAATTTACCACAGAAAGGCAATATTCTGTTATTCAGGCTAGTATTCTGGTTATAGACTTCAAAATAAGGGACTGAGCTAGGCAGCCTGCGTAAGTCGGGGGGGGGGGGGGGTATCTTTACCAATAGTGTACTTCTTGTGTACTTCAAAGTGTACACCTTTAGTCGGTAACCAATTAAAAAAGAAGCGCTTGCAGTATGGGGGCTCCTTCTCTGACAGGGAACTTGAAAAAAATTTGAGGGACATGTGCCTTGTGCCCTAATTCCTATTGTGATTTTAATATGTGGCAATTTTTCTCTAGCCAAAATCAGCTGGTCAGGAAAATCAAGACCTTATAGCTACAAATGCACAGCATATGGCAGATGGTGCAGAGAGAATGGAGGCTGAAATAAATCATGCCAGACAAAGAATAGGGGTAATTTTAGCACTCAAATATAAATATACTCTGTGTTACTGAGGATTTGATACCAATAATTAAGTAAACACTTTTCAACAAATAAAGATATACTAAAACTCTCTTATCAACTTCTTTAGGATATAATACAAGACCTCTCACATGATGTCCTCAAACAGCTTTTTGTGGAATTTGCAGCAGTTGGTACAGGGAGCGAGGAGTATGTCAGGGATTTGATATTTTCAATTTCTAATCCTGGAGTGGCCATAGAAAGACCAAACTCTCAGCCTTGGTGTAAGTGTGGTGTATGTATTTCAATGCCTGACCCTGAGGAAAACAAGTGCTGTGGAAGGGTCATATGTGTAACCTCATACCAACTTTTCAACAAGATTTGCATTGACAGGGATGTTTTAAAGTTGCAGATTATGGCAAAGTGTGACATGCGTGCAGAACCCATGGTGTTTACCATGAATGCATACCGAAAAGCAGGTTATCAACAATTTGCCTTGTGGAAATATGGTAAATTGGGAACTGGAAACAGGAGAATTTTACCATCATGTGTGGTTAACATGATAAGAAAAGCATACCCCTCCCAAGATGATGTATATATGGGGTTCAGACATTCATGAGAAATCTAAATAATTTTTATTGTGAGGCAAGACAGGTATTAATATGCTAATGTTAATTTATGTTAATGCTAACTACACTTAGTAAACAAAATGTTTACAAGCACTTAAAGAGGTTAATTGAACTTTATATATATATATATATAATAGGGAATATAAAAAAGCAAAAATTGTGTTCGACACTTCCCTTTTTGTGTCATCACCATTATAATTTGTTTTTTGCAAATGTGAAGGAAAAAATTGGTCAGGGTAAATTCTTGCATGAGAATTGCAATTGTCATTGTAGATCATCAGCTTCTTTGGTTAGAATTCCACAGGGGATTAAATATACCTCTAACTTGTACAACTTTTTCAGAACTGAAGCAATCCTATTGATGCAAACCTTTTATCTTAAATAAAATGCATCCTTTGCCTTGATAAAGCATGATATTTCAGTGGAACTACTTTTAATAACAATACAAATTACTGTCACAAAAATACCTGCCCAAAAATAAAATAAAATGTTAATATTTGAAACATAGAAAGAATAGAAGATTTGTTTTAAAAATTTGCTATTTGTACTCTATGAAGAGGTCAACCTTTATTTTTGTAAGTTGGTATGTATTGCATCAAGTGTTGATTTTTGAAAGAATGTTATGGTACATGCAATTGCATCAATTTAAATCTGTTTTAATCTCGAAACTCTATCTTGAATTAAAAGTTCTAATGGAGGTGGTTGAACATTTGGATCAACAATTGGTGCGATGCGTTTTGGATCATCTTGTCTAAGGGTATTTCTTTGTAGAACTGTTGCCGTCCTTTCCTTTCTGGCTTTCAGTACACGTGAAAGCAAGCATGACATGTAATCATACTGCTTTGCAGTCTTGACTGGTTCTGCATGGTATGTCTTGGTCCTTCTATTGTACTTTTTCTTGAAAAGTTTGTTACCTGCCCTTGATACGGCTAGTGATCTGAACAAATGGAGGTTGTGATCCATGGCTGCTAGAGCAATCCTTGCAATAAAATAAATATACTCGAAGGCAACTCTTTTAGGGGCATACTTTGTGAGCATGCTGTTAAAGTTCTCTACATTGCCTGTATGTCTGAATCTGACATAATATTCAAGGTTGGCTAGGAATTTTTTGTCAAAAACAACTGACCTAAGTGCTTCAGCTGCTTTTGATTCTTTGCACAAAAAGGATTTTGGTTCTTTTTCCACTAGAGGCCCATGCATGCACTCTGAAGATAACCATGTGTGTTCTCCACAGACATGATGCACTGTGCCAAACCAGCAGTCTTTAAGTTTTTTAACGTCGCCATTTGCTACTTGACATGAGTACCAAAAATGGTTAACAATGCTTGGTATCCATTCTTTCAATCCTTCACAGTCTTTTCCCTTTGAAGCTTTGTGCAGCTGTTTGGATAAACTTTTAGCCTTATGCCAGACATCAAGGCTATGCATAAGTGCCTTGAGTTCTGGATGTTTTCCTACAAAATTTATTTAACACTTTTTTGAAATATTGAACAGGTAAACATTGAATGGATAGAGCTAATAATACAAATATTTGCACTTGAATTATGTATCTATCTATCTATTTATCTATCTATCTACCTATCTATCTTTCCATGTATCATCTATCTGTTTGCAAAAGCTATCAGTGCATAGAATTGTTTTTTCCCAATTATGAGCAGGCAGAGTGGCAGAGGGGTTTATTAATTCTTAAGTTGATAAATCTGTATGCAACCTATACCAACCCAGGACAAAAGACTTTCATGGGATACCGCTCAAAAACTATTTTATGATAGAATGCAACCTCTAAACTTGTTGTTTATTTTTAACCTTATTATTTGGACATTACCTTCCAAATGTGATATTACCTTTCAAATCTGATAAACGCTTTATAACTGAGCTTGATGCATCAGTCACAACTTCGGACAAACTGAATGTTTTCATTAGTCTTTCTAGTAGTCTCGTCAACCCTTCACGTTCCATATTCGGAGAGTGACCACCAGTCTCTCTTCTGTCCAAAACCTCTAGATCGATTATTATTCCAGTCAACTGTTCCATCAAAACATACACACAGTACCGGGCACTGAAACCTGGTGAATCATTCCTGCCATCACCAATTAGACACAAATCTTTGTACAGTGTCAAAATACTGGAAGTATTTTGCTTTAACTCAGTCCAGGCATCTAAGATGGTAGGTATGATAAAAAACCTTTGATTTCTGGTGAATGTGCTTTGGCTGGGAATCTTAAGTTTTAGAAACTTAGATAGCAATGCAATTTTCCCATAATGATTTCCTGACATGACAACACAGGCAGTTAACAAAATGTCATTTGTAAATACAGGTGAAGGACTTGCTACATTTACTTCCTCTGAAGAACGCCACAGTCCTTTGTGCTTTTTGACACATTCCCATCTCAAAGTTAAAACTGATCCCTTTATTTCTTTGTCAAAATTTACATGTTCTTGGCATATTTGGCCATTTGCAAAGGCAAAATTACACATGTTGCCTTTCAGTTCAATCAACTTTTCAACAGTAACTATAATTCTGTCCCGGTTCACAATATCAGATTCAACCATATCTTCTTTAAACATTGCTTGCAGCATTGGCTCAAGTTTGCTGTTTATTTCTTTCACATTGCTATTAAAAGGTGCAAAAATAGTGTTGTCCATATTAAAAGTTGTGCAAAGTTCCATTTCCTGTTCTTCTAAAAAGGTCCTATTTAAATCTCTCTCTTTATCATGAATTTCATCAATTTGGTTCCCGGGATTTTCAAGAAATTCATCATCAGACCAAAACTCAAAGTCACTATCAGAAGTTAACAAAGAACTTGAATCGTCTGGATATGAGCTTGATTCATCTGAGGAAGTGCTTTGACTGTCTGAATCATCTGAGGAGCTGTCAGACAAATGATCAGATGGTATAGTTTGCCTAAAAAATAATGAATTAAAACTGAAGATAAATAATAACTCAACGAAACCCTTCTTTCATGAAAAAATCGAGGTATTGAAAAAACCTTTGGAAAAAATCATAGCTTGACTTTTAGATTTCTGGTACACAGCAATGTGAAAGTGAATCTAAGCATAAAAAGAACTAGAACAAGCCCTTGAAGGAAAATTCAAGAGCAATTCTCATGATAAGTTGTTTGCAGAAGAAGGAAAGGGGAATATGAAGCCACCCTCAAACAATAACAGATAATTGAAAGCACACCTTTTTTGGCCCTACTTTGCATGGTTATAGAGGTACTTTTAAGAATAAAATTCTAATATTTGGCAGAAAGACTTGAAATGTTTGTTAACACAGTTAAAAAAATCTTTAAAAAACAAAATAATTTTCACTTAGAAAGTATCCATAGAATAGTATCAAAATTTACCTGTGTGAGGATAAAGGATCCCCTTCTAATGAATTAAAACTTTCATTCATTTTACTCATTCTAGTAGCATGAAAACTCTCAGCAAGAGTGCTACCAAGAATAGATTTAGAGGATTCTTCTTCCCCGTTTGAATGAGTAAATTGTTTTGTGTCTGATCCAAAATCACCTTCAGTTGTCTGTTCAGAAGTCATGGTTACAGGAAACTCCAATGTCCGAGCACGCTTTGGAAATCTTGGTGTAGATTCAGCAACAGGTACTGCAATGATGAGATCAATGTTCAAACACAATATTTCACCAGGCATTCATTATGTGATCATTCACCAGGCAAACATGTCATAATATTAAATGAAATATCCATTATTGATCAAGCTAAGAGAATTAAATAGAAATCGCAATCAAACTTTTTTTTGCTTAATAATAAAGTACTTTTTTAGTTCTTAGAAAAATTATGCTATCTATTTTGCTAGGTATCTTATTTATTACACATGGACTACAGTTTTGTGCTTCTGAAAGCAAGAAAAAATATAGTATAAATACAATTTACACAGTATAAGTAATTCATAGTATAAATAATTCCAGTATACACAGTATAAATAATTCCACTTACAATTCTTCAATCCTGTCGAACAAGCACTTGGTGATTTGAAGAGACTTATACTGGTAGGTGCCTCAACATGTGAAGTTTCTTCTTCTTGTAAAGTTGAACTGTTGATATAAACATCAACATTAAATTGAGCTGTATGACATTTAATTATAATAGACTATAAATTAGTTTGAGAACGAAGGAAATAAAAAAAAAATTTTTAAACATACCTTGAATCTACATTGCATTTGTTGGAATGTGATAATTCCTTCGTGTAGCAGTGATCAATATGCTCAGGAGAACTTTTTATCGTGCCGGCTGTTTGTCGATGGAGTAGATGATTAGCGGCTAAGTTTAAAAGATATAGCGCAAACTCATTATGTGAAAGAAGTTTTTCATTCGTGCTTGCTTCTTTTCTCAAACCATTCCATCTCAACAGTGTTGTCTCATTGATGTTTATCATCGTTCTGCGTTCAAGCTTCTTTGGGCGTCCCATTTTGAGTTAAGTCTAAGCTTAAATTAGATTTAGAACGCGAACTATAAAATTTGTTCTCTATCAACCATACGCCATCTTTTCTGCATGGCATAAACCCTGAATCACAGGGAAACAAGGGCACAAAAAGAGCGCAATGCATCACAGTTGACCAGGACCCTTTAAAGGCATTGAGTCATGATAAATAGACTGGGTATAGCCTAAGGGCCAAAATCCGCTGAGTCACGATTTCCATGACTGCGATGCTATTGGTTGACCTTGAACTGGTCACATGAACTCACCTCGTACTGATTAGCATAACAGTTTCCATCAATAGCAAGTTGTCAACAACGGATGCCAATTTCACATGAAACAGCAGCGATCACACCGAACCAAATGACCCCCTATAGAGAAAGCCTATTTACCATGACTCAATGCCTTTAAAGGTAATGTGTCCAGCTATAGCAAGCGACTCTGCAGGGGTTTTTAGAAACATGTGATTTTTCATGTCATCGCCCCAGTCATTACGGTCGTTCTGTTTATTTATCCTGCTGCGAGGTCAGCTTTTCATGTGAGCAGTTTTGCATTGCAAGAACACTAACCAATCGCAAATTGTTATTTTGATGGGTGGCTTGACAAGTTGGGTATACGCAGTCCTTTTATATGGACACATTACCTTTAATGGCCCTAGTGGTTTTTTCAGTATGCCGGAAGTTGAGTGGTTGGCTGAGTTAAATTGTTGGGATCATTTTTGCGGTCTTTTAACAAGATGGCTCGTTTGCCGGGCTTGTGTCTTACATTACATATGGTCATTATAGACAGGGAATTTTAACAACAATCAAGCAAAGAGCCTAACCTTAGTTTTTGCTCTTAATTTGGATACTTACATACAGCCTTTGATAGAATATTTCAAGCCTTGGATACACTTTTGTAGCACAATAGAAATCACGTGATCGATGACGTCATTTTCCCCGGTCTTCAAAATTTTTAATTCTCTTTTTTCAAAAATCGCTCCAACCATCTTGTTTGGCATTGTAATAGAAGCAAAAAGTTCTAAAGAATTGAGTCTATCAGACCTGCAGATAACGAGTTATTGCTATTTAAAGTTTCATGACGTCATCAAAATGGCGGTTCTGCAGTTTTCAAGCACGTGGAGTTCAAAGGCTGATGGTCGTAATTTAGCTTGCTTTTCCTCAATTTTGAAATTTTTTGACTTTCGTGTTATTCAGCAACTCAAGAATGTCTTTTGAGTTGATATATTTGAGTTGATATATTTGATGTGTTTGCCCGCCTGGGAAACTAAGTATTGAACAAAGGAAAACGTTCAAATAAAAATTTGTCTTCAAAAAGGCTATACTGAAGAGGGGCTTTCGTCAGAAGAGGAGCTTTCGTCAGAAGAGGAGCTTTCGTCAGCAATGAAAGACCGTTGATTTGTCAGCATTGTCGCTCGGCAATGTACTCCAACTTTTACAGCAGCTAGGCAGTGCAGTATTAAATAGCACTTTCATGCCAAGTATCAAACCTCTTGCACTCAACCATCTGGTTTATCCGTACTCGTATTAACGGGAAGTCTATCCGTATCAAAAGTTGTACGGCACCGATCTATCCGTATAACTTTTTATCTGGACCATAAGTTATCTGGCATCGTGTAAACGCAGCCTAACTGACCGTTAGTCATAGCTAGTAGATACCTATAAAATGCTGATCTGAAGATATAATCTTAAAGTTGGCAAAAAGTAATTGTGTTGTGTTGAAAACAGAGCTGTATTGTTGGAGAAGGTAAGGGAAGACATGCAAGTTGCGAGGCTTCAAGAAGAAGCTAAAAGAAAACATACTGTAAGCTTAAGGATGACTGTGTTAACAAGTGCGTCATAATTGGTTGACATTGAGCATAAGTAAGAAAACCTTTATCTTAAAATTCAAGGATAACGATGCAAATTATTTCACATCAAACATTTCACAACATACTAATAATGAGTCTCTTTTTATTAATTAAAAAATGTTTGGAATAAACAACAATCATTCATATTTCACTAAGATGAAGATATGCCTAAGTTTCCCAAAATGCCCATGAGTGCCTTTGGGGACAAAAGGTGCCCTAGTTGTCAGAGGGCTGTCAGGACAAAAGAGTTTCCTAAATAACAATGAGCACAGGTGCATTATGGTTAGCTTTAAACCATGCACAAATAAAATTTCTGATTTAGCATTTTAAGAAGGGACATGCAGTTCTATTCTAAAGTGCTGTATTCTAAAGTAGAGTTTTATTCTAAAGTAGGTTCTTAACTTCAGGTATATGTATTTAAACTTTAACTTTTTCTTTTTATTGTTTGAATGAATGAATAGAATTGAATAGAAGCTGGCATGGTAACATCCAAATTTACAGCATCATGAAATTTCATTTCTTTTTAATTGGGCAACCTCAACAATCATGTGATCGTGTTTCTGATTGGCCTATTTCGATCCACAGCTGAGTATATATATTTCCCAGCTTAGTGTTTTGATTTCTGTTCAGAAATTTTATACTCTGAAGAGTGTCAGACCAAAAGCTTTAGAATGCCTCAAAATATTTGTATTTTCAAAGCTATTTTTAAAACATTTCCCAAGAATATGTGCAGATAATTCAATTAGACTTCAATGCTGGACACATACTTGTGACAAGCAATCCATTTCTTTGACTTTGTCCTTGGTTGGATAGAATCATGTTTTGTACGCAAAAACGTATGAAAGACGTCGGAAATTTAGGCTAAGCCTGTCAATGCAAAGGATACGATTGAAGCTCACTAATTTCGATGATTCATATGTGTGTAGCTTTTTAACTGTTGATAATTCTGAAAGGGTTTATCTATAGCATGACGACAAAAATGAAACCTTTTGATTTAAAATTGGTGTATCTATAAACATTATATTGTAGTTGCAACACGGTCATTGTTAATAAAATGCTGACAAAAAGCAATTTGTTTAGTGATCTGAATAGTTTTAACCAAGCTACATCATCTTTCTGCGCCTCATCTTCACATCGAGGTCACTTTTATGAGTAGAGTTTATCACGTTATGATATTAGTCCATACGCTGGGGTCGATCATGTAGAAATTCTTTGTGCCTGCATTCACTCTTCATCATTATGCAAGTCAGAAAAACGAGGTTGGACATCTGGGCGCGTGGTAGGTCTTCTGGAAGCTACGACGAAAGATAGACCCCCTTTGATCGCTTTTTCGCTAACGAAACCTACCATAACAGGCTTTGTGCGAGGTTTTCTGACCTTTTTCTTTGGAAGTGGGCATTTAAGTGAAGTGAATAAACGTTTCTACTGTTGAATCTAAAATTATCTATTGTTAAAATTACTAATTTATGTCACGCATGCGCAAGGTTTATGTTACATTTTTCAAATACTTTACACTAATCAAAGATAATGAAACTCTTTGCGCATTCAAGAATAAGACTCTCATTTATATCAATGGTTGCCGGTTTTGTAGACGTGAGGACAATCGTTATTAAAGAAACGTTTAACGCGACATTTCAAGTCCAAACAATTAATGAAACTGATAATTCAATTTGACTTCAATGCTGGACACATACTTGTGGCGCAGCAATCCATTCCTTCGACTTTGTCCTCGGTTGGATTGAATCATGTTTTGTACGCAATTACGTACGAAAGACGTCGGAAATTTAGGCTAAGTCTGTCAATGCAAAGGATACGATTGATGCTTACTAATTTCGGTGATTCATATGTGTGTAGCTTATTAACTGTTGATAATTCTGAAAGGGTTTATCTATAGCATGACGACACAAATAAAACCTTTCGATTTAAAATTGGTGTGTCTATATATATCATATTGTAGTTGCAACACGGTCATTGTTAATAAAATGCTGACATTTGTTTAGTAATCTGAATAGTTTAAACCAGCCATTCTTAAACTCCGGCCCGCGGGACAACTCCGGCCCGCAGCAATATTTTATCCGGCCCGCAGAGCGCTTCATCTAAAAGAAATGTTTTTGGCTTACACTTTTGAAAATTTTGAATTCGATTTAGTTTTGCTTTTGGACTGCTCTAATAATTGTTTTTCTCTGCAGTAAATGATAATGTGCGTCCCGTTGACCAGTATGGTCCGAAAGGAAGTACAAAAATAGGAATTACTTTCTTAAATCATTTAAACATTTTATAGCAAAATGTTTTACTGCTTTCATTGAATTAAATTGGTCGTTGATAAACTCACCATGACCTCACCCCTTTCTCCACTTTCTGAGATGCCAGGCCCAAGGCCAGACTTAATCTTTAGTTCATGAAGTTCATGCTTATTAGCGTATGTATATGAGGCAGCGTGTGTGGACTAGGATACTGTCTAATGCTTTGTTGCCAAAATGAGTTTTATTTATTTTTTTCCCTCTATTTTACTTTGGTTTATACATTCGCAAAAAAGTTGATTATTCGTTGTTATGCTAAGATAATTCTAAAACTTTGGTAGAAGACCCTTTCTTTTCATGTCAACATTAAAATAGATACTGCATCTAAAATAGAATTTGACGGGAGAATAGCTAACGGTTCCAAAGTTTTATAGTTTCAAAATAGATAAAACTTTGGAACCGTTAGCTATTCTCCCTTCAAATTCTATTTTAGATGCAGTTTCTGGCCATCCCTAGATTATTATAATCAAAAATTTTTCTTGGCGCCAACTTTGGTGGCGGCCTTTTTTAACACAAACACAATAATTAAATTTTGTCCCTACTTTAAAGTACGTTTGGCCGTCTCTGGATCCAACTTCAAATGTATTAAGTCGACCTAACGAATATTAACTACGTAATCTAAAAATAGCACAACTGTCTTCTGATTCAACCTGGTAAAAGAAAGGCATGCTGCAAGCTTTTGTGTAATCATTTTTTGGCTTTATATACTTTGTTAAGGTTTGAAGCTTTCAGTCCCCTTCCCCCAGAAAGTTATCACTGGCCTTGGGTGTGTAAATCCGTCGGGTATTGCACATTGAGCTAATTCCTCTAACATCAAGGCAACAAAATGTTCCTAAATGTTATCATCGCCCTCCCTTTTTCTCTCCTCTAATCCACCTTTTCCAAATTTATTTCATGAAAATAAGCGCACTACATAAATTTTATGAATATAGAATATAGAACTTGTGAATTTGTGCAACTTTTTTGGCACAAGCTATGTAAAATTCGAAAACTCAGTGGCCCTCGGAGAAAATCCACATGTTTTGCTTGCCCGGCACTCAAAACAATTAAGAGCCCCTGGTTTAAACCAAGCTACATCATCTTTCTGCGCCTCATCTTCACATCGAGGTCACTGTTATGAGTAGAGTATATTACGTTATGATATGGGATTTCTTCCAGTTACATGACTGAGTCCGCTATTGAAATATCCTGTCCAAGCACTCGACCTGTGCTAAGCATAGTGACCTTGAAGCTACGAGGAGACTTCCAAAACTGGAGGCTTCTCCGAATTTTTATTTGTGACGACTTCCTTCACTGGGTTTCAAAATTACCAAATATTACTTGGGAAAATGTTTTATATCTAGTACATAGTACATCTTTCTTCCCATAAAAAAGTAACACGTTTTTCTTCCCATTATTGATTGAGGTTTCCAACTGTCTCGTTGCAAGTAAACTTACATTAAATGAAAGAAAGTCAACTTTTTTCATTATTCATCCAAAGCAAATAGAGGTACCAAAATAGATATGTCTAATGAAAATAAGTACTTAGCAGAAACAGAATTTGTAGAATACACAAATAAATATCATAATCCTCGAAAGTTGTAATAAATTACAGTAAGCAAAATCATAGATATGATGTGGAGGACACAATTAAGCAGCGGCGTCGCTTGACCTTCCAGACTAGGGGTTGGAGGGTCATCAACAGAAAATTTTACCGACGAAGACATAGATGGAGAGGAATTTAAGTGCTATTTCACCTACTGATAGTCAGGGACGCCGGAGAGGGGGTGTGAGAGGTCCACCGCCACTGTTGCCTTTTTGGTAGGAGGGGCAACGGGGGGCCAAAGTGCCCTTTTCATAGAAGTTTCATTGACAACGGCCATTTGAAATTATCAATTGATTCTTATGAAATTCTGACTATACCGCCTTATTCCTGACAACATGTCTCAAAACTTTTCTAATGCCTAAAGATTTTTCTAATGCCTAAAGTTAGCCGATTTTCAAGATACCTACAGAAAATCGAAACAAAATGACAAATAGGAATTATTTTTCAAATGCCCTTTTACTCAAGCCTGCCCCCCTTGCCCCTTTGTCGTTCCAGCGTACCTGCTGATAGATGATTTTACCGACAACATAATGATTTTGCAGACAAACTGAAGATTTACCGACGAATTCATGAAATATTGGGGTTGTTACACCCCCTTAAAAACCCCCCGCTAGCTACGCCCATGCCATTAAGAATCTATCTATTTTAAGCCAGTATAATTTAGCATTGCTGAAGCTTTACTCATAACATCCTAGTAAAGTAGCAGAACCAAATTATTTTTTTATTTCTTCCCTTTATGGTTTCCCCCTTTATTCTCTTTTTCATTTTCAATTTTTGTACAACAAAAAAATTGTTTGAAAAGAATTTTGAAGAATACTAGGAATGGGATCTACTGCTTGCAAACTTCAGATGTGTTCTCAATGAATTATGAATACTTCGAGCAAAATAGTGAACAACAACTTAATAAAGGATTTTTGATCGCTGCAAAGAAATTAACATTATTCACATCAATAACTTTAGATACCAGAATGCACTGCTCACTTTCAAGTTAGGGGTCTGGAACACAGGCTAGCCTGTTAGCAGAATCAATTTTTGCCTTATTCAGTATTTTAAAGCCTCTGAAAAACATTTTTCCTTCTTTATCAAGATGATGTAGTAGAGGAGGTTCTCCATAAGAGGTTTTTCCCTGCATAGAGCTTATGTTGTTTTCAGTTGGCTGTAAGTAGTTTAAAACCTTTGAACCGAAATACCATAGTTTTGGGGAATTCTGAACAGGTATTATTCGAAACATATTCCTAAATGTTAGCAATTTTCAACATAAACATTCTTATACACGCTTTTTATAGCCTGTTCTCCAGACCCCTAACTTGAATGTAGAGGGTCTGTGTAACCGAGAGCCAGGTCTGGGACACATGTTGTAATATAAGTTTAGAATAAATATCGTTGCTCTTTTGTTCTTAATATTATTATGCTGTCCGTAGTCGATATTGGTTTTAAAGCACGCTTAGCTGCATATTGTTGTGTTAAAGTAATTGATTGATGGATCTATTGTTTAGCTCAGTTGAAGTTGGGAGAGGCGTGCTCAAGTTGGAGAGTAGTTGGTGATCGAGTTTTTTTGAAGTGAAGTTTTCAAGTTGTTTAAAGTTGTCAAGATCGTTCGTTGTCAAGAATGGAATTTATTATAATAATAACTTGTAAATAGTATTTATATATATATCGTGTTTATTTCATTGTGGATTTTGCTACCATACACCGACCAGCCTTAAAAAGCACAACACACAGGCTAGCTTTTTATAGAATATTTTTATAAGAATATTAAAGCTCAGAATTATCCGAGTTTCTTTAAAAAATAAGAATATTGCTGAGCCTTAACCCACATATTTATATCTCATTTTGACTAGGGAAGGTGATGTTTCCCTTTAACAATATCAGATTTTGAAGAAAAAGAAAACTTTAAGAATATATTCAGGCTCAAAACAAAGGTTTGTTAGAGTATTGAGGCTAGAAAAATTTATGATATTCTTATAAAAATAATGTATGAAAGTGTGTTATTTAGTGATCGAGCAGAGGCTGTACCGTGAGCCTACCCTGGGTACCAGACTCTATTTTACTTTATATATAGTGAGTCTGGTACCCAGGGTACCGTGAGCCATGAGCTTCATAGGTGTAGGAGATATGGGGGCTTGGAGGGCTGCATCCCCCCCCCTAATCAGACAGAATTTATTGATAAAGCAACAGAATAAGAATGATTCTTCCTGTTATGTGATCAAGCAAAAACGCCCTTAATCTACTCACGAACACTAAATCCCAGTAAGGTTCCATACTGAAAACTCTCTTTCTATGAAAATTACATTTGTATTCCTTTAAAAGGGGCGTTTTCCTTTTGATCCCAATAAGATTGGGCATGACCCATTTTAGGCCCCCCCAAAATATTCAGCAGCCCCCTAAACGCTAGGAAAGCTTCAAGATAGACACAATAGACAATAGAATAGCAGTAAGCACCAAAGAAGAGTCTTTTGCCTGTGTCGTAATTTATCACACCATAGTTAATCACACTGGTTCCTAATTACCATTTTACGATTACCTATCATTCGATTTGTTAGTTTTGCAAGGATTACACATTCGAGAGGGGAAATTTCATCTATTGTCAGTGTTTTACAAAGGAAATTAGGAGCTCTTTATCCAGGGGATAATGATTTAACGATTGTTCTGATTTGTTTTGAAAGGAATAAGCGCATGATGGAAGTCATTCTTCGAATTTTCGAAGCTCCGCGGACCCTCGTCGAAGTCGGCCAATGGGCAGCGGTCCATTGAAAATCGTTGATGCAAGCAATTCCATGGCGGCCAGCGTATTTCAAAACATTTCATCAAAACTATGCAGATCTTTAGATTAAATAGAGCAAGCGTGAAGTAAGGGCAGGTTGAGAGGATCAACAAACGATACATACCAATATCAATAAATATTATTGATGTTATACTGTGCAAAAAGAAAAGTATACTGGAGTGCTTGTCTGATCTTGGCAAAAAAGCTGCTGATAATCTTCGTAACAAATATACTCATCACCAATAAGATTATAGTCTCCTAGAACATGAGGCATTAACTCCTTCTTGTTTTATTACATGTTGGTAAGTATCGATGATACTTATTTTAGGTTGTTAAACTTTTCGCTGTTTGTTTTTTTCATCGCAACCTAGTACGCTTAGTTGTTTTTGGACATCAACAGCAGGAGTCGCGTTTTTAAGCGATTTACGGGACGTGTTTGAATGCTGTCTTTGAAAGAAAGCAAAATGCATTTTGTTATTAACTGGGTGGTGGAGAGCAAAATATGTTATTGTTATCACCAGTAACATTTTGTTTTATATGTATTTCAGTGTTTAAACAGCGTTTTGCCAGTTGGGCCTAATGGAGCCTCGTGCGACAATTCCCTTTATAGTTCGGCATATCATTATCAATCTTTGTTGATGTCATTACCTGTAAATTTACTTTGCGATTCTAACCTTCCGTAAGGCAACTTCCAAACATTTAACAATGTCCAGCTGTATCTAAGTTTGATGGGGTTTTCAAGGAAACATGGGGGAAATCTAGGGGCGGGAACCTTAGAGCCTTGCATGGCCTCTTGTGTTCATTCTGTTGTTTCTAATAACACCACCAAACTTTGTGGTAAGGACAAATAGATTTTGTGGTGGCTTTGGTGAATGATGCATTTTTTGATTTATTTCGCTTGCTGAGAGCGGTAGCTTTTGTGTTATTCTTTCTTTCCAAATGTTTGGATCTCAAAGTGGGCCTAATTAACATTTGCATAATGCAGTAGTTGGTTGGAATTCTTCTTTGAGATTCTTCTTAAAGACAGGTGTTGTTACATTGTATAAATTTTATACTTTCTTCTTCTTGTTAGAGCAACACGGATGTAAATTTTCACCACGTGATCTTAAATGATTTTGGAAGAAACCTTGTGGGATGCCCCTGTGAAAAAACCATTGCTCAACCATGGCTGAAAATGGTGACACCATGGTTACACCATGGTTTTCAACCATTTCCCACCATGGTTGAGCAACGAAATGACCATGGTTAACCATGGTAGAACCACGAATTTCCAATGGGACCCATTGCTCAACCATTGCTGAACCGTGTCGAAAATTTCAAAATTTTTACTTTTTCATAAATTTGCTTGAGCAATATTGAAAGCTGAAATGTTCAGGATTATTTTAAACAATTTTGAAATTTTCAGTTCTTTTTATGATTTCAGTTTAAACCATGGTCAGACCATAGCCAATACATGGTTACCTGTTCATGGTTGAACCATGGCTTAACCATGCTCAAAAAATGTGTTTCAACCATGTTTTTCCATGGTTAGACCATGTCATCTAATCATTTTACCAATTTAGGTCAAATCAGGGTTCAACCATATAAACATTTGAACTTTTGAAAATACAAATTTGAATTTTTACAGGAATTGCATAATGCTTGTAAACTTGGTTTGAAACATGGTTCAAACATGGTTCAACCATGTCACTTGACCATGATCGAACCATGATTCAATCATGTTTCTTGGCCATGATCAAACCATGATTCAACCATGTCTCTTGACCATGATCAAACCATGGTTCAAACATATCAACCAACCATGATCAAGCCATGGTTCACTTTTGCTTTTTTTCTCTTCTTTAAGATTCCTCTTGCTTCTGCACTTTAAGAGACTCTGCTTTAAGCACTCACAAAGAGAATCTCTCTTTGAGCTCATCAAGGTTCTGACACAGTAAATTTTAATGCAAAGCTTGCTTTTCGCAGTAAGCTCACTTTGCTTGATATCATATTTTTATTTGTTTGCTGATTAGAGCACTTCAAGGTTCCTGATGAAAAGTGTGCGTAAGAGTTTGGCAAGTTCAGGCTTAACATGCAGTTCTTGCTTGTTTTCATGAGACTGTATGCAAATACTAGCCAGGGTTGCCAGAGGTTTGGGATTTTATCCGAGATCTCAGGAATATTTAAGGGCTGTTGGGATTTTTCTCTGGAATTTTTGTTTCGGGGAAAAAATCTCGGAAAATTTTCGGTGTTTTAGAGAATAGATTAGAAAAGTTTTCAGAATACGATTTGTTAGTAACAAGCATTCCCTAACTAGAAATAAGAGCGGCACATATCATTCCATTTTTTGCTATTGCCAAGCCCCGCTACAGAATGCATTAATCTGTGTGGAGTAGTAGATAGATGGAGTAGGTGAAGATTGCTATAACATTTCAAAGTCACCCACGGCTATGAAAGGAAATTCATCGGCAGAAAGAAATTATAGAGTCAATGCAAAGACGATGACTTTGTTTTTGGTGATGGACTTCTCGAATAGAAACGAGCTTTTAAAAACTCTAAAAATATCAGATACTTTATTCAGTTATCATGTGTTATGTTTATTTGATTAAATTAATAATCTTCAGGTGTCATCGGTTTACTTAGGATTGGCAGCTATTTTTCGTCTAAAATGGTGGCCTTTTGTTACTTGTCTTGCAACTGAAATAAAAATGTCCAAAAAATTTTTAACTCCCCTGTCAATGCTTTGATTTGTACAATTACAATGTTGCACAAGGTAGAGAAGTTGAAAAGTCGTTACACAGAGGTCAAAATTTTGTCCCTGTGGTAAATGACGTCATCAGAACATCACAAAAAAAATCTCGGGATTTTTTGAGAAAATCTATCGCATTCTGGGATTTTTTAGGTCTTGATGCGGGATTTTTATAGATTTCAATCTGGCAACCCTTACTAGCCTTCACAATCTGTAGAATGGGGCTTCCAGACAGGGCCGGTTCCATGGGGGTGTGTGGGGGGTGTAACACAAGAATAGGCATTTGTGTTTTAGTCGGTAAAATTGGGATTTTGACGGGTAGATAAACTTTTTTGTAGAAAATTGTACTTCGTGTAATTTTTTAAAACATTCAAAGATTCAAACATTCTGGAGTTCAGTTTTCCGTGGATCCAGAAGAGAATTTTCAGGAACATCACAGAAGAACATTAATCCCAAGATATTTGACAAAACCAGAGACAATTTTAGTCTGGGAGATGCATTTCTAGCCATCCTAGAAGGCTTAATTTCAAAATGCCAAAATGTATTTGGTAGATAAACACTTGCACCCTCCCAAAAAAATTTCCTGAAGCAAGGCCTGCTTCCAGGGCATCATAATCGTGCATTGAAGTGCATTAAGCTCGCAAGTCACTTACGGATACAATCTTTCATATTGTTTCTGCTTGTGTTCTAATTTTTACAGAGAATTGAAGTATGAACTTGTAAGGGGTAATTCACAACAATAATCGTTCCAGGTGAAACTTTACCCCCTTAGCTATCAATCACGGTCAAATTCCTAATGAAAGTTTTCTAATGTCATAATAAAATCAATGTCGTGACCAAAAACATTATGAAAATTTTCAAGTAGACTAAAATTTTTGCCCTTAATGCGAATCTGGAATAAAAGATTCTGTACAAAAACATTTAAAGAATTTTATCAAAAAAAGTTTAAGTTAAATTGGTGTATACCTTGATAGTAGGAGGGGCGTGTTCGTTAAAAATTTAGAAAGACAACGCCCATAAAGTCCAATTTTCTAAATTTTCAAAATTCTTTAAATAAACTCTGGTGCGAGGAGAGATAAACTGAAGCCGTTCGTTGCGAAAAGTCTGGTTTATCCGTACTCGTAATGAACGGGAAGTCTTTCCCTATCAAAAGTTGTACGGCACCGTGTAAACGCGATCTATCCTTATATATCTTTTTATCGGGATCAAACGTTATCCATCATCAAATTGCTCCACAAAAACGTTCTTATTTCGAAATCTTGCATCACTCGCAACAATACTTTCTGTCAGAAAAAGGGTCCCAAGTCCTCTAGATCTGTCCGGGCCTAACATTAAATACGCTATGTTACCTAACAGTTCTTTACGATGAAGCTTTCAACATAATCAACAAACTTCCCAACTGCACAAACCTTTTAAAAAATTATCTTGTTTTTGCTGCGTACATGAAGCGCAAAGGTGAACACACTGATAGATGATCGAACTGCAATCCAAACGGCCATCTTGTGTTTGAAAAAGCGCGCTCAAAAATGGCAGTTGCTTGTTGGTTGAGCCATGGTTTAGCGATGGTCAAACCATGATTGCACGCATTAGAAAGTTTAAATCCAAAGGAAATAAATGTTTTCTTATTTGAAAGCAAGGAAATATGTCTACAAAACAAAGCTAATCTTGGAATACCCAACTTAGCAGGCACCGCGTAGCAGAGGGGGGGGCAGGGGGGCTGCTAAAAATGTCAAATATTAAGTAATAAACTACCAGGAAAGCCTCTTTTTAAAAGGTTTCAGCCCCCACTTCTTTAAAACCCCCACCGTCTCAAAGCTCCCTTGTGCCTGCTTAATAATGAAACATATAACCATGCAAAAAATTACTTATAGGCAAAAATTTCTTAGTAGGAAAGAAAGAAAATACCAGGATTTTAAACAGTGGAGATTTCTTGTAGGGACATAGGGGGTGGAGCCCATCTTTCTTGTTAGAAATTTTCTTGACTTTGAAGGGGGCAGGGGGCTTGATCTTGCCTTTGAATTTGAATTTAATTTAAAAATTCTTTGCCATTTTAGGAAATGTCAATTAATAAATTGACCATGGTTCAGCAATGGGTCAGCAATGGGTCAGCAATGGTCAGGCCAAATTTTCATAAAACATCTCAAATTCAAAGAAAATAATTTTTCTATGGCTTAAAAACAAGGAAATATGTCCACAAAACAAATATTGTAGAAATCAAACTAGTATTTAATCTAAAAATTCTTTGCCATTTTGAGAAATGTCAATTAATAAATGGACCATGGTTCAGCAATGGGTCAGCGATGGTCAGGCCAAATTTTCATAAAACATCTCAAAATCAAAGAAAATAATTTTTCTATGGCTTAAAAACAAGTAAATATGTCCACAAAACAAATATAGTAGAAATCAAACTATTTAATCTAAAAATTCTTTGCCATTTTAAGAAATGTCAATTAATAAATGGACCATGGTTCAGCAATGGGTCAACAATGGTCAGGCCAAATTTTCATAAAACATCTCAAATTCAAAGTAAATAATTTTTCTATGGCTTAAAAACAAGGAAATATGTCCACAAAACAAATATAATAGAAATCAAACTATTTAATCTAAAAATTCTTTGCCATTTTAAGAAATGTCAATTAATAAATGGACCATGGTTCAGCAATGGGTCAGCAATGGTCAGGCCAAATTTTCATAAAACATCTCAAATTCAAAGTAAATAATTTTTCTATGGCTTAAAAACAAGGAAATGTGTCCACAAAACAAAACTAGTGGATATCAAGCTGTTTAATTTAGAAGTTCTTTGCCATTTTATGAATATCAGTTGATAAATGGACCATGGTTTAGCAATGGTTAGACCATGTTTATGTAAAACTCTTGCCATTCAGAATAAATGAAGGAAATTAATAGTGAGACAAGGAAAATATAATCTTTCAATTTGAAGGTATCAGAAACCAAGCACATAAACCCCCCCTATTGACTGAGTTGTGTCTTGAGACATGGACCATGGTCTTGACATGGTCAGACATGGTTACATGGAAAATGATAAAAAATACAGAAAACTGTTACTTTTTCTTATATTTCTATTGACGATAACTTTTAAGACAGTTGAGGATTCATATTTTCCAAGAACCAACCAATTAAAATCATTGCAGGCAAAATCTTCTTTCATTGCTCAACCATGGTCACTAACCATGGTCAGCACTTGTCAGGATCACGGCTCAACCATGGTATGACCATTGCAAACTATGGTTGGGCCATGAACCATGGTTGGGTTTTCGCAGGGGTGGGTTTTAACCATTCGACCACTAAATACATATTTTGCAGAACTTTTTAATTTGTTATTTTATTTTTCCAGTTAAAGGTGGATGGCTATGGAGGTGGGTACTTCAAGTTTCACGAAAGAGCGATTGTGCGGTGGAGAGAACAACAATATCGAAGAAGATTTTGCATCTTCTAAGATGCTTCAAAATGGAAGCACCGACAGGGATGTATCAAAAGAATTCGCAAGCGCTGACTCTCCAAAGTCGAAATCGTCTAGCTTTTTTCACAGAACGTTGAGGTCAGTTTTGAAAATTCGACGGAACCCGTCAACAAATAGTTATGACATGGACTCTGGAATTTCAATGCCTTCTTCAAAGGAGGATTGCTTGTCTGAAAATGAAGAGAAATGTGATGGAGTAGACAGTGGTATTGCTTCAGAAGCAGGAGACTGTCCACCTAGCTCAAGGTTGTCCAGCTGTACTAACTTTACAGGTAAGGCCCTGTCTTTCTGCTCTGTTTGAATCAAATTCCACAAACAAGTACTTTATTAGAAGCAGTATCTGTCATTAGTATCAAAACTGAATATATTATTATCATTATTATTATCGTATTATTATTATTAGCATCGAACCCTTTGAGCTGGAAGGGGGGGGAGGGGTCAAATTACTCTCTCCACCTTCAAATGGTCCTTCTTTATACTCGCTCTCTCTGAGGGAAATATATTGAAGTACTGAATCATTAGTATCAAACAAATTGTGATTCAATTTTATTCTGCTTGTTTGATACCCCATAAGTAAGAAATAAATTCATTTTTATCTAGAAATTCATTCATTTTATCTATAAAAGAACTTTCAGAATTCTGGCAGGCAGATACTGTTGTCAAGGAAAATACCAATTGATAATAGTAACACACTTTTGATAATTGTTTGCTTGGAAGCTTTTGAATCTAGAATTTGAAAAACTCAGCTTTTATTGTGGTTGCTAGTTGTCACCATGGGTATACTTAAAAACAAAATCTTCTTAGGTCCTAGCCCTCTCCCCTATTTATGATGTCACTATATTTATGTTCTTCTCAGGCTTCCCATTTTTATATATTTGTGTTCTTCTTAGGTTTTAATGGCTTAATATTATTTTTATGTTTTATTCTATGTTACTGACACCCAGTTTTAACAGCTTTTGTAAGGTGAAGAATATGTATCCAGTTTAGATTTTTGTTAAGAAAATGAATAAAGGTAAAATAGTCCAAGTCTGTAACAACTTTGAAAAGCCGTGATAAGATGTTTGATTGGAATAAGGGCTTGTAGATTTTTATGTTAAATGATGCCACAAAAAATTTTGATACATGTTTATGTTTAGTTTGAAAGGCATCCAAATGGGGTTTCTCACTCAAAAGTTTATATCAGTGTAGACCTATTGAAAGAATATTTATAATAGATAAAGGCCATGTTACATCCTCAGTGCTCACATTCCCAGACTTGAGGTCTAGATTAATTTTTTTAATTACCTTGCATGCATGTAGAATGTTAACCCCTGTCTCACAGCATTATCCAAGCTGAAGGCTATATGTAATTTAGATTCATACTTCTAAGTTTATATTGTGCTTATAACAGTTGTAGTCTTATGAATGCATTTTTATTTCTTAGGAAGCAGCTTTGGTGACAGAGTGCCAGGTATCTGTGGGTTGCCAAATCTGGGAAACACATGTTACATGAATTCAGTTTTGCAGTGCTTAGGGCATTTAGATATTTTCATTGAATACTTTGCTATGGACAAATATCGAGCAGACATGAAACAAAAGCGGACTTTGTTCAAGTCTAGGAAACTTGAAAATAATATGAAAGGAAAAGTAACGGAGCACCTAGCAGAACTTTTGAAATGTTTGTGGAATTTTGAAAGTCCTGTTAATAAGTGTAAAGGCTTCAAGGAAACAGTGTTGAAATATGGTGAACAATATAGAGGAGCGTTACAACAGGATGCTCAAGAATTTTTATTATGGCTTCTTAACCATCTCCATGAAGATCTCTGCAAAAATGCAAATTGGAGTTATTCAAAATCATCACTAATAAAGGTAAGTTAAGCTTTCAGATTATCACTTGGCTACAGAGGCAGGGGGCAGAGGGGGCTATAGTCCCCCTTTTTTATATTTGGTATAAAAACTTACAATAACAAATTACCTAAAACAGTACATATGAACTACTAAACTACATTACAAGGACAGAACCCAGGAGGAGCAATATAACATGACTGCCCCCTGGGATATGACATGTATCTAAATATAACTAATAATAAAACTATAACACTACATATACATATACTAGATTATAATAATACATACATAGTGAAATACAACATATATATATATATATGTATGGTAAATACTTAAGCCTGTTTCACATTAGACGCCATTGAAAAATATGTTATAAGGTTTGGTGTTTATACCTTATATGTAATTAGTCCCCCTTTAAATTATACTTAAAATAATGCAAAGGTATATGCTTCTTTTGACCTTTTGCATGTTTAGTCCCACAATCTGTAATATGCTCTGCAGGCCCTGCTTGTCTTAAGATGTATAATACAATGTGGTCTCAGATTTCCAGAGGAATAGGTGTCATACCATACCGGGACCTTTGTTCTGGATGCTCCACAGTTGCAAAATAGATGTGCAATGAGAAACTGCACTTCTTGCAATATCAATATTGCACTGTAGATGCAGGTTGAATTGCAAGCAAAAAAGTCTCTGTTAAAGGAATACTCGGGTCTAGGCACATTAAGGCGGCTTCAGTTCATAAAATTTAATCACAAAGTGTGCTTTGCCAAAATATAACTCCTCCACCAAAATATATCCTGCTTTACCTTGGGGTGATTTGTCCTCCCCCTGGGAGGCTACCATTGAACATACAGAGAGGCTCTGAGAATGTCTGTAAATTTTCAATTCAAACAATTTTCTCAATCTTTCTCTGGAAGGGCTTATAGCCATGAGATGACTAGAGGCCAGAGACACTTTTGCAATCTTGATCAGACTGTGCCTCTCTGTCAGCCAAAAGACCCCCTAGACGTTGGTAATCATAATGCTGTAGTACATCCAGTCAGTCAGCTCTTCACATATATCACTAATGAATTATTCCTGGTTTTTTGTATTAAACAATTGAAATGTGTAGAGGTAGCAGAAGGAAAGGCCAGGTGTCATGTGTTTTTTATTGTTTTACTTTCTAATCATTGTTTTACAAATATCCCAAGTATAAAGGACTGCATTACATATGTCTCTAGCCTCTAATTGTACCAAAATAGATTATGTCCCCCTCCCATTTTTATTTCCTATGTTTTGATGATCTTTGGTAGTGACATAACTTCATCTCTTCCCTAACCATGTAAAGGATTTAAAGTTACTTATGGATCCTTTGATGACCAATATTGGAAATTTCTTAAGAAACTCAAAGTTACATTCAAAAAGGCGCTTATTCTTTTTAAATTGTTTTGTTTTTGTTTTGTATAAAGGAAATCCCATTAAACTGTGTCGCAAGCTTCGAGACTGTGGGAGATATTGTTCTTGTGACGTCAGGAAATACACTACATTGTTCACCGCAATTATGAGTTTCAATAGTTGCTAAAGAACCGGAGAAGGACGGATTTTAGTCAACAATGTAATGGAATTTGATATTAGAAAGCGGGTGATAAAACCAAGTACACAGCAAATAAATCACGCCCGATCTTTTGCTATTTGCCCCGGGGATTTCTGCTCCAATATGGGAAATTTTTTGCTATTTGCGTTTAGTGTAACAGCATCACAACTTAGTTCAGATTTCGCATTTCAGACGCAAATTTGTCGTTCCCATTTTTCATCCAGAAGTTCGAAATCAAACCGTAACTCGTCGAAACGTTCGCCGAATCAGACCTGTTCCGATATTTTGATTTTTTTCGAATTGGGAATCAGAGCACCATCAATTAGCACAAAATCTAAAAGTAAAACCATTTCTTCGACACTTTTTCCCAGTATAATAATCTGAAATGATGAAAACGTAAGAGTTGCACATCACTAACGAAACAATATTTGAAAAATCTTAATGCTTTGTTAATCTTAATGTCAATGGTTTGGCCGGAAAGTTTTAAAAACTTCACTCTAATTACCTAGTCAGAGAGATTTCACCACAAAATATCCATTATGTTATGTTAGTTACTATAGTATAACAAAGCACATTTTTTAACGGATCCGTATTCTTTTTAACCACAATCTATAATGCTGTTTTATTCCATCTGAAGCATAATCAATAAACCATATAATCTTGTGTAAAAGCTAATTGGCAGACGTAGCTTACTGTGTTAATTTTGCTCCTGTAAACAAGGAATATCGCGTCCTTGCTTTGAGTACGTAGAAATGTATAATTTTCTGTTTCTGCAAAAAAGTTGATCAAGAATTTTGGATAAACCGAATTCTTGTTAATACGTTTTGGAGGATTGGTGTCTCCAAGCACAATTTTTAGTTTCTGATGTCACTGAGGAGAAACTTGCTTATTTTCTTAATCAACTTTTTAGTCTAGCTTCCCAGCAACACAAAAATATAATTGTCCATGGTTCTGGTTCATGAGAATATTCTGTCGATTAGAAGTCCGTGAAAGTAAAACGCCTGCAAATTACATCATCACTTCAAAAGGTTGCCGATTCAGCAAAACGGTTACACCAGAATAATAAAGCTTTTCAATATCGCCGGAAAGGAATGTAATGAATTGAATCGAATAAAATTCGCTTGAAATATAACGTGGCTTCCTTCGTTACCTGGCAATCAAATAAAATTTCACCGACAGCATACCTTGTGATCTGTTGTCAAATTCTCTTCAAGGTCTAATTCGATAAATTTTTAGCCTGTCCATAAATTTTGGGGTATCATTTTTAAAAGAAATGTAATATGTTTTCATTCACTTTATTGAGTTGAGTGATGTTTGCAAATTGAAATGAAATTAAAGAGTATTCAGGGGTATTCAAGCACTTTCGATTCTTGCCTCATTTCATGTTTTATTTTATTTTTGGGGTAAAGTTTTTGGAAAATTTATTGATTTTATGTTTTCATATTTCAGAATAGCACACCCCTTTCTCTGTCTATTGAAGCTACCCCCCTCGCCACCCCGGCATTAGAAATACAATGTAAACCTATAGATTCTCATAGAAGTGTTTATTGGAACACATAAGTCTTTGACTGCGGCTCAGCCACAGACAAAAGACCCTGCTATATGGCCATTGGTTTTTGTCAGCGATATGTATGTATCACATATATCGCTCCTCCAAAGCCTGCGGTTTCTGGGCCCAGGGGAGTCACTCAATCTTTTTATATATGGTAAGGTCTATCCACAATTATCAAAATTCTCCTCAAAGTATGAAAACAAATTTCACTGACTCAAAACTATCAGCTAAAAAGGTAAAAGAAGGTATCTTGTTAAATGAGGTACCTAAAAGTAGCAGATCACACGTCTTACCCATAATTGTTGGATGGACGTATGATAAAATTTCAAGTGACCTCTCTGGGTTTCTGGGCGTAATGGTTTTAAGTGAGTGGCAGATGTGGGATATCTTTGTGATCCCAACAGTTGGTGATTACACTGGCAGCATAAGGACCGAAGTGTATGACGTAAATAATTTATTAGTGTCGTTTAGAATTTTTCCCTATAACTAATATTCCGAATGTTTTTCCTCTGTAGAGAAAGAAGCTCTGCACGGATGAAGAAGAGGCTGCACGTACGCTAGCTGTGCACGCCCAGCAAAACAGAAGTTTCATTAGAAACATATTTCAGGCCCAGTACAAATCATCCATTGTTTGTTCTAACTGTAATAAATGTTCAAGCACTTTTGATCCTTACCTCTGCATATCATTGTCGATTCCTCAAAAGGACGTTAAACCTATGTATGTTACGATGCTCTTCTCATCTACGAAAAAGTGCCCGTTAAAGTTTGGGGTAAGTGTACCATACAGTGGAACGATACGGGATTTACGACGAATTCTTTCGAAAGTCGTCGAAGTATCGGAGGAACGATTAATTATTGCATTAGTGTACGAAGATGGAGATCAGTGTTCGTTGCATGACGAAAGTATGATCGAAGCCATACCGGAACTAGATGACTGTTTATTTGCAATTGAAGCCCCTTCTCTGGATGCCGTAAAATCGCTATCAGAAACGCCAGTAAGAAACAGGTCGTTGCAAGAAAAGGCCTCCGAGGTGGTCAAACAACCGGAAAGAAAATGCGCAGTTGACGGTTTAGCTGCGAGTTTCAACCAACGTATGCAGTTGTCACTTGCAAAAGAAGAAAACAACACGATAGTTGTCGTTGTCACGAATGTAGAAGTTAAGGGAAAGCGCTCACGGAGGTGAGAATTGTTTATCGATGCTATTAGTGCTCATATCTGGCCATCCTTTGCTGTATTAGTGTTACTACCCCATTTTCTGCTTCTGTTGTTACTATTTTTCTTATTATTATTGGTATTTTTTCTATTCGTATCATATATTACTTGTTTTGCTATAGGAACAAAACTTGGACCAGCCCATAGCTACTACTTTTTTAATATTCACGAGTTTTTATTTTGTTTTGTTTTTCTTGATCTTTCATTTTTATCATTATAATTTTAACAGTGTTATTTTGTGAAAACAGGCCAGATACAAATTATCTATGTAATAGAGAGATTTGTAATTGTAGTTTTAACTGGAATTCAAAATTAATAGTTTCCGTTATTATCACATTTGCTGTGGAAATAAACCATTGATTATTGAAATTTTGAAATATACAAAGTAGTAACTGATTGTAGCTAAATTTAACTGAAAAGATTACAAATTATTATGATTCTTATTATGCTTATGGAGAAAATATTTTCTTTGTGAGAAAGCATACCGATGTATGCCACAAAGAACAGTGAGATTTGTTTTTTATTTTCTGAATGGTTAATGAAATTTTTCTAAAAAGTGGCAGAACATTCATTAATGATTATGATAAATGACTGGTAAATTAAAATTCCCGAATGACTGTTAATCACTACTATTACGGTTTCTTTCCATTTGTAGATTTGGATTTCCGATCACTTTAAGAGTTTCTAAGGATGTGACTTTTAAAGAATTACAAATTCTTATCAGAAGGGAAATGCAAGTAGAGATCAGAAATTGCATCAACCAAGAAGTATGTATTGCTTTTTCATGGTCCATTTTATTTTTTTGCTATGATGATGATTCTATTATCCTATTTTTGCCACGGGTAAAAAGGTTCCAGGAATTCATATCCCTTTGTTAAGGCCGATTTCCATTTGACGTTTTTTGTGCGCGCGGGCGTAGCGCCAAAATCTGAGCATGCGTAGCTAAGTGCTGCTGTCAAGTGGCCGAGCGCACAGAAAAGTTGAGACCCTATCAACTTTCTGGCGCTCGCAGTGGACGCAAAATTGAGACCACTTGATTTTAACTACGTATGCTCAGAATTAGGCGCTACGCCCGCGTGCACAAAAAATGTCAAATGGAAATCGGCCTTTAGTTGATCAAGATTTCCGTTATCAAAGCCACTACCAAGATATATTCAGATAGCCGTTACAGGCAGAATTTAGCTTTAAGCTGTGTTGTGATATTTCCATCTTTGCTTTTCAAACATTTTTGTCATTAGTTCTTCAGAGTTTCGCGATATTGTTTTTCGCTTCTTTTAATTTTCTATTCTTGTTAATCAAAGGCAAGGAACTGGAAACTGGTTCTTGGAATTCGAGTTGTTGGGGGAATTATACACAACGAGTACCTGAAAGAATCCGAGGCCCATCCTCTAAGGCAGCCAACAGTTGAAAGGTATCGTCAATTCATTTGCCATCAGTGGCGAAGCGTGACTTTTTCAACTGGGTATTCTCTATTAAACAAAAGGGTGGGGCAGGGTGTGGCTCGATGGGGCTTGATGAAAATAGAGGGATAATAGGAAGATTAAAAGGACTAGCTTCTGACATTTAATCTATTACTTTATCACTTTTCTTTTTGGTTCGGTTGGCAAGTACTGCACTGTCAGGGCATTACTATGATGAAAACGATACTTTGCTAAAAGGTCACTACGCAAATATACTCTTCGAACTCATTCATTGCATCAAAATTCCATTTCATCAAAAGTAATTCAAATCAAAACGTATCATTGAAAATCAGTAAAATTTTGCTGGTCGAAATATGTCCCAATAGTTGTTGTTGAATCCTCTAAAATTTGCACTGATGTAAAGAGGAAGTAACTGTAAACACCTACTCTTCATATCTTAATACAAAAGGGCTTTCAAAAGTTTCAAAATTATTCACATAGGGCATTACACGAGTTATAAATAGCTTGTGGTATGCAGTCTAGACTTTTTCTTCATGGCCTAATCGTGATATTTTCAATACAAGTTAATGTTTGAAAGAATCGAAGGTAATGAGATGAGACTGCACAATAATGCAAATAAATGCGCTCGAATAATGCAAACAAAATAGGCCAACAAGATAACTGAATACACCAGGCAACTATAAGGATATTATCCAGGCCTATCTGCATTTACTTTAATTCCGTCTCATAACACAATTAGAAACATCCCTGATTGACAAGCAATAACAAAATTGACATTTCAAGAGGGCACAGATCTGAGTCAGTGTAGTATTATGTAGAAGCCTACCTTACCTTTCCACTTTGCTGTTGGTAGATTAAGATTAGGGGTCAAATGAGAGAATGATTATGAAACAGTAATACGGACATTGCAATAGCTTTTGAATGAAGTCATGTTTACTGTTTTCGATGAAGATCCATCACTCCAACCGCTCCGACGTCCATTATCTGTTTATATCGATCTCAAAACGAGACTATTTTGAACCAACTTTGAGGCTGTACGCTGCATATTTCTCAGCGTACAGGACCATTGTTTTAGCTGATTAACGGCAAATATTATTCATGGAAAAAAGCATTTTGATTGGTTAAAGTACCGTCTAGGGTATTCACTGCGTATTCATGACCGATCTCCATTCAACATGAAGTAGCTCAATCTTCAAAATTAGCTTCAAAGATCTCCCAGCCTCCCTATGCGTCGCAGTGTTGTTTCCATCCATGAATTTCGTGATACTTTGTACTTGTACAAAATGTAGAATATCGAAGGTAATGAATTCAACCAGAATCAATTGCCCCAAAACATTTTTTAATTATTACAAATATAAGTCGTATTAATATTTTTTCTGAGAAATCTCAGGGTATTCACTGAATACCTTGAATACCCGGACGCTACGCCACTGTTTGCCATAGCATATCTTTCTTTTCGGCCCGACCATTGTGAAGAATAATAAATGGTCATTTCATTCATTTTGTTTGACATATTTTAGAAGGGTAGCCCTTCTAACAAATCAATTCATTGGGTTCAACCCAAATTCTTAAACCCCATTACAATTATTCTAGAAAATAATACAAGAACCAAATCAATTTAATTATCAATTTTAATTTAAATGATGATTAAGCTATAAGCGAAGAAAATTAGGGAAGATAATAACAAAAAACGTGGTGACCTTTTTATGAAAATGGAAGACAATTGGAAATTGTATTGGGAGGCCTTAGAGAGAACGTTTCTCAGAATGAGATGGACAAGATTGTTAATAGTTATACTTTTCCGAAGTCTATTTTAAGTTTTGTACCACCGAAAGATTATTTGAAAGTCTTTTTTTATGTCAAATCTGTTTATGAAAATTAATGTGCAACGAAGGGGATTCCTTGTTGCGGAAAGGGAATGTGGCTGTGGAGGAGACATATTAGGTTGAAAAGAAACTGTTTTTTGGTAGGCAAACAATGCTATTAGAGATAAAAAATTTGTAAAGAATCTGTGGGAAAATGTTAGCTACACAGTATCGTTTATTGAAAATTAGAAAAAAGGAAATGGATTACTTTTTCGTGTTTCTGTTTGAATAGGTGTTTTGCGAGTGTTTTGATGTCACAAAGGCATTAATCCATTCCAAAGATGATAACTGAACGTATTCCCAAAGTACCTTTTGTCGTACCAAGCTCTGCTTTTCCATTTTTGAAATACCGCCCTTTTATTAACTATCTGGAATTAAATGACGGCGGCTCTCTTTGTATATCGGAACTTCAAGGGATGATAATATACCATAAAGATACTTCTATGGAATATACACAGAGCTGCACCTAGTGATTCTCATACACAGAGTGCAAATGGCACCCCCTGACTTGACCCAGAGTTCAAGACTATGTACAAGAAATGAAACTTAGCTTCTTGTTACACTTTATGTTTAAAAACAACTTTGCATATTTTGTTTTTTCAGATCTTTCTGTTTGCTCAACCTTTTAAATGTTTGACATATGCATTCGGATTAAAGGTTCTTACAACGTGTCCATAAGCAAAACCTTTGGAGATTTGTATCGTACATGTTTAGCAGTTTACTAATGCGTAACTGGTCTGTTTTTGTAGCTATCATTCAAATTACATAAAATATTTGTTGCTTTTACAGGGGCGTCATCACAAATTTAACAGCAGGACCCTCTCATGTTTCGCTTGTTGCCGAATGGGAACCAGAGAGCCAGCACTGGTAGGACCACTTTATCATTTTATTCCACAATCCTTAACCGAATATATTGAGACCAGTATCCTTTGATGTATTTCTACAATGTTTTTTATAGAAAATTTTTTTATTTCTAACTAAAATGACATTTAATGTAATGTCCTCCCCTCATGATAAAACATTGTCTTAAAACATTATCTTACGAAAATTACATCAAAAACATTGCTTTGTTGGAGAAGGTCCGAAAAATCAATACAGTATCACAATTTTTGTGAACGATTACAGGTTTCATGGTCAAAGATTTGTGAGAAACTACAACCATAAATCTTATATCTGTATTCATTGAGAAGAACTTAATAGAATTACCAAATTCCTTGTCAGAAAATTTGTAAGCTAGGATAGACGTCGTGCGAGGTCAGTTTGGTCCTAGGACATGTTTCTACCTTTAGAGAAAAGAACACTGTACAATTAACTATAGGCATGAAGCCAAAGATTTAGCAAAATGTGTTAGGAATCTCTGTGTAACGTTCAAAATTTTATTCCATTTCAAAGCCAAAAATTTGTTTAAACATCGGTATCGCTCTTGCGAATCTTTATTCTACATTAGGAGGCTGTATGTCCTGTGCCATGAGAACGAGGTCATGGCGGCTAGCCAGCCGACTAAGAATGTTCGGTTGGCGGCTGAGGTCAGGTTGCCGCCTCGCTATTGATTTGTGAATTCTTTACGACTCCGCTTTCTAAAGTATCGCGATAGTGGCATTTAAACAAAGGGAAGAAACTGTTGGTTTCATTCACCAAAATGGCCCCAAGTTGTTGATAATTATTTCCCACTTGGACGGAGTGAGTGACTTCTCTCACGCTCTCAACCCTTCAAATGCACCTGTAAACGCGTAACGCCCACTTCGAAACTGTGGTCTTTGGAAAAAATCGTAAACTCGAAATTAGTCTTGTTGACGTCAAAAGGAATGTTTAGAGGCGGCGTTTGCAAATTCCTATTATTTATGGAATCAACTAAACTAGTGCTTGGAGTCATGGCTAAAAGGGTTCTTAAAATAATACTGCCCTGTCCTGTTTGCGCTGATCGTGCGTGCAGAAATCCTTCCAGTGGTCCTCGGTTACTTTCATTTCCAAACATATCATTAATTTTATCCAAATAGAAGCTTACTAACATAAACACCTCATCCGTTTAAGCTTACATACAGGCTTAACTAGCCATACTTAACAAAGTGAATCGAGTTGCCATAAGGTCCGAGTTCCTTGAGCTGCACCGCATTGTCTGGCCTTTTCTCGACCAAAGTTCGTTCGGTCGTAGGTTTTTCAACGATATAAGAAACACAATGAATTTTCGATGCACATTGCAGGCTATTGTAAAGACACCTCCATATCGGATACGTGCCTAGAAATTTGTTATTCGAAACTTTTCTGGTTCGTTTAAAATGATGCAGTAGACCATGGTTGTCAAAACTAGTTTTAATGTAGTTGACTTGTTCAGAGCATGTCGCGAAAGTCAATGTCACAAATCGTTGTAAGAGCATGAAACTGCGTTGCACAACACAAAACTTACAGCTGAACTATTTTGCCCTGTTTTAAGCCCCGGTCAAACGTATCCAACATTTCGCCCAATATTTCATCCAACATTTCCATCACCGTGCATCGCCTGCGCAGCGACATGTTTACAGCACTAGTTTACAGATGATAAAAAGGCGCGTAAAACAAAAGTGAATAATGATAGCTGATTTCTAAAATAACACGTTGAAACGTAAAGATTCCCGTTAGGCCCAAGCCTAAATCTAGATCGCCATCGCTGCCGTGACTCTCCACGTCTGTGCTACGCTCATCCTAATCTGACACCCTTTCCCCAGCTATTAATTGTTAGATTATTTCATTCTGCGCTTGCTTTTGCTTTTCATTTTTCACTCGATAACTTTAAAAAAGGTGCTCAAAAATCACTCTGGATTCACCTCGGCTCAAATGACAATAAAGAAGTTTGAATCATGCGCATGCCTAGAAAATAAAATGTTGGGTGAAATGTCGGATGGAGTGGTCAAACGCATCCAACATCACATCCAACATTACATCTTACATTACATCCAACATTACATCCAACATTACATCCAACATTACATCCAACATTACATCCAACATTACATCCAACATTGGAAAATAAAATTTGTTTTTGACCGTGATCAAACATCATCCAACATCGGTTTGCAAATGTTGGGTCACCAAACATGGGTGGTCAAACGCATCCAACATTACATCCAACATTACATCCAACATTACATCCAACATTGGAAAACAAAATTTGTTTTTGACCGTGATCAAACTTCATCTAACATCAGTTTGCTTATATTGGGTGACCCAACATTAGTGGTCAAACGCAACCAACATTTCGTCCAACATTGGTTTTCTGCATGTTGAATGAAATGTTGGATGCGTTTGACCGGGGCTTTATAGATTATGAATATTGATTATGATTGTTTCCTTGTTAAGGTCGAAACACAGTTGCGTGTCTAAATGGCCTTTTATGTCTGATCAATGAGCCAATTCGTTACTATCTTGGTGTTTTTTTTGTAAAGAAAACAGTACACAGTCAAACTTGTCTGAAAGTGTAGAAAACAGCCTAATTTCGTTGAATAAAAGATAGCGTAATTTTCTGTTCGTCTGTTACTTTTAAGTGTTGAATTAATGTTATTGTTGATGCGTACTGTGTTTTACTTTAGAAATTGCTTTTCAAAAGACAACGTGCAAGCTATTATAATCTTCTGGAAACTGGTTATTAAGAGCTTTCAATTTTTCTATAAACGTTTATTTAAGAAAATTATCATCGGATCTCCAGCTGAATCCTGTCTGCCTTTACTGAGATAGATTTAATTGGGTTATTCAAAGCTTGCTTTAAGAAAAAACTGTTTAGTCTTGGCGTCTGTTAATTTGCAAGCATTCTTTTAATTGTTTTTGTTTCAGCTTGAAAGGTGCCTTTATTCTGGCAAACCATGTATAATAAAAGCTTCTAAGACTTTCTAGATAAAAATGGTGTTGCAAATCTATTTTGACAAACCTCTGGATGTTTTTAGATAATTGCTTTTGCATATTCTCCAGATAATCACGCTTTTTATTCATTCAGTCTGTAAAAAAATATTCTCGTTGCTCAGGTGTCTTGCTGTGTTTGGGTTAGGCTTGTCTGAGGAAGATATCAGCGTTAAGCAAACAGAAGAGGAGTTCAGTATGATGCAAAGTTTCTCTTTAAAGGACTGTCTTGAGCTGCACACAAAAGAAGAAGAGGTTGGTAGTAAAAGGCCTTGCCGTAAAAACAGTTCGTGCGTAGCTTACATTTACCCCAAGGATTTAAGCGACGGATATTGTGGGGTGGGGTGTTAGATAATGATTGGATTTTGGCGTCACTGGAAAATGATTTGTGATGTCATGAAGCCCTTCTCAAACTGGAAGTTGACTGAAAGTCTGTTGCTCTCTTAACGTTATCATTTTTCGTTCCTTTCATGATATATCCAACTCATTCAACCGTGATTTAGGCCCAAAAGACATCAAATTATTCACATTTCCATATAGATTTTCGACAGTCATTTTGCTTCTTCCTATGATCCCTGTCTTTCCTATATTTTTTTATTATTTTGATTGTCTCTCTACAGTTGCTTTATGAAGATTGCTGGAAGTGCCCTAACTGCAAAACTGACGTGAACAGGACCACCAAGGTGTTGTCTCTCTGGACTCTACCAGATGTGCTAGTCTTCCACTTAAAGAGGTTTCAGCAAGTACGTGTTCTGTTTCTTTTGATCCTTCCTTCATTTTCTATTTCTAAGATAACATATTAAGACCTTCTGGATAACAAATAGGAGGACAATTTGTCACGTTTCTCTTCTTAATTACTGTGAATGTCTATCAAGATTTAATTGAAAGACAATCAGCAACATTTCTTCTATAGCCAATTTCTTTATGTTAGCAAAACACTGGTTTGCTGACATCTTTTTCATATCAGTTTTGAAGTTTTCAAGGATTAATTTCATTTTCTCTCCTAAAGGTAACCAGATACATTATCCAATATTTGTCAAAACTGTTGCGTAAATAATTGTTCATTTTGTATTTTGTAACCACTCTGGGGTCATAATTGGAACCTGCCATGTCTGTTTCTAGGCAAATCAATGGAAAGGCAAGATCTCTGCAGATGTACAGTTTCCACTTCATGGCCTTGACATGAGCTATCATTTGGCAAAGCGGTCGAAAGTTTCCAATGTCGATAAGAAAAATCTGATTTCAAAGGCTCAAACGTACAATACACCACTCGAGATAGATGAGTCTGTTTACGATCTGTTCTGTGTTTGCAACCACATAGGACCGTATATTACCAGTGGACACTATACCGCCAACTGTAAGAACTCTGCAAATGGATCCTGGTATTGCTATGATGATACAGCTGTGTATGAGATTGGGGAGGAGCAAGTTTGCACCAGAAGTGCATACATGTTGTTCTATCAAAAACGCTCTGCCGTATCGAAGTCGGCCTCTTCGCACAGCCTCTCTTCCTTGTGTAGCCATTGGTCACAGTTTCTAAGCAACGCAGCTATGTTAGATGGTGAGACTGAGCGATAGTTTGCTAAAGGTAAGAAATTTCCCTTTCTCTGCTATGTATTAATATCCATTTTGTTTTGATTGCAGATAAAAAATGCTGAATTTTTTATAGGATAGGAAATTAAAGAAGAGCATTATAAAACATTATATCATACACAATGAAAAAGTGATGGTCTGATACTTTCATTATGAACGTATTTAAAGTATTTAAAATGACAGTAATCTTGTTGCTTCTTCAAAACGTTCCCAAAGTCAAATGATTGTTGGTACCAAAACTGCGATGTTCCTCAAGGGTGCGCTCATGCAGTTTAAAACTTCCGTTTTCGCTTATAACAGTTCGTTGTTTTTTCTTTTCTAGTTTCGATCATTGTGATAATTTTGGCTGCACGTTGTTTTTCGGCCAAAGCAAGGATTTTTCAAGACTTGGGAGAAATCTTACAATTCATGTAATGATGTTTGAAATCTACCCAGTTAACCTTAAATGTTCACGTTTTGTAAGAACCAAATGAATTTTTTGTGTCATCAACACATATTTAAGAAAATAACAGTAAGACAAATCTTCCACTCTAATAAAACTGTTTCGTTTGGAAATTTTTTTAGTATTTCAACTTTCCTCATTAAGCAGCCATTCATCTTTGACGACAATACTTTTGAATAAATAACACTGGCCCAAAAATTTCATTTTTTAGATAGTTCATTTGTACGTCGAAAAGGTTTAAGAATTCTTACTTTTTAACTTAGTTCTTAACTTCGAATCTCTTACTTCTTACTTTAAAAAACATAGAAGTTTGCACCTCCAGTGAATCTTTTTTATATAAATTTCTAATTTGTAGTAAGCCTTCGTAAATGATACTACCCAACATGGCTGCTCCATTCGAGTTTTGCAATTTTCTCAAAATGTATTCACGTTATTCGTATTATATCTGTAGAACGTATATAATTGAATTTAACCAATTAAGACTGACAATTGTTTCACTAACATTCTAACACATACGTAAATAATAAACGAAAATATACAAGCATTTATTTAAAATGGTGTAACTGTGGGCGTTGATGGAAAACTAGATCAGAGAACGTACAAAAGATGACACTTCCATGAAGTTAACGCATCTTCTTAACGCGTGCATTTTTTATCCGTTGTTCATCCTTCGTGGACCAAAATATTGTTATCACGCGACCAATTTCGCAATCAAGGCGCGATGTTAGACAAAATCTGATCCCATCAACGGATCGTTTGCCGCAGCGGGTGTTTGCTTTTAGCTCAGTCATCGCCAAGTTGTAGCTTGCTTTTAACCCTTAAGGTAACGCAGTTGTGCACTGGTTTTGGAACAAAGTATTCCTCACTTTCTGTGACTGGTTTTCCACTTAATGCATGTTTTTATATCTGGCTGTTTGTACTTACTCCATGGGAGTTTTTTATGCCACAAGGGAAGGTTGAAGTCAAATACAGTCTGAGATAGTTTCTCTCTAAATCATCTCGATTACATGAACTGTTGTGGGTGTCGCCAGAATTTGTAAAAATTGACCAGGGATACAATTTTGGTAATTTATAATATTAATAATGATAACAATGATAAAACTGTTTTTCTAATACTGGGTTATAATTTCGGCAGCAGAACTGCTGTTATCAATGAGAACTTTGTTATAAGCATAAATGACCTAAGACAATGAAAACTTAGTAAGGAATTGAATAGTTGCAGATTCAAAATTTTTACCTCGAGTTTTCGTTCCCTTGCACGATAAATCTCAATTTGGATTTGGCTAAAAATTTCGAAAGCTCTTTGATTTATGCCTTAAGGTTCAGGCATTAAGGCAATCAAGTTGGGTGTGTGACTACTTTTAGCTAGCAAATACACAACGTTCTCTTGAAGTGATCGCCTTGAACTTATATTAATACATTTTGGTCGTAAATAACCTGAAGTTGTAATTTTATCGTAGAATTTTGGTATTGAGATGTAGTTGTAGGCAATTGTATTTATGAAAATGGTGTAATTTTTTAGCATTATGTACAGCTTTTGTATGGTTTTTCCAAACTTTTGAATTGGGTGGGTTTCTCTTTTAAATGCATTGTATTTCATAAGTCAATTATATATGCCATTTTTATGTTTATGAATGTAACATTAAATGAAAAGAAACACATTTGTTTTCATCAAATAAAACTATATACTTCAAAAGGGTGCGATGGTTATAAATAGTCGGTTGAAAAGAAACAACGCCTTAATGACGACCATAACAATTCAGAAATGCTGATGATTTTTGAAATGCTCCTTTACATTTTTACAATCTGAAATTTTGAACAATCTCAAAGTTGCGATTTTTGTTATCAAAGTTCTATCATTGTTCTTCGGAAAGTTTTTTGTTTCCTAGATTAAGAATATATTGAAAATAGTGCTATGAGTATCATGGGATATATTTTATATTTTATGTCATTCATGTTCTCATTGCATGGAGTTCATAATTAATGTTCTCATTACATGGAGTTCATAATTAATTCATAACTCGTGGTCGACAGAGTATTGTGTTTCGGGATATGTAGTTATTCCTCACACTTATTCCTCACATGAAACATAGTATGTATAACGTAAAGCTTTGAAACTTTAGATTTAAAGCCGTAATTACAAGCTCACAGCACTCCTAAGCACTGCTAAAGATAAGGAAAGGAATTCATTGTAGCCTTGGGCAAATTAACTAAACTTTATTAGTGTGCCAAATCTTTCGCTTAGACTGTGATCTGAAAGTACGCACATTAATAAAAGACACTTAAAAGTGAAGTATATTGTAGGTGATCCTACTTCAGTTCGGCTAGCAGTTCCAATTTGAACGGTTTTGATAGGTTCCGTGTAAACTGACGGTACTCATTTTAGTACGGTGCAGTATGGAACCGGCCTCTTGTTAGCCTGTGACCCCGATTTCAGAGGAAATAGGGGTCTGGTTTTCAGGCTAGTCTCTTGTAAACGGATTCTTGATTACTGATTCAAAGAAACTACTTCAAAAGATTTTGGATAGAAAAGCAACAATGTTTTTTCACAACATTGAACGAAAATGTAATTATGTCAACAAAGTCATACCAAAAGAAGAGATAGCAACATTAAAAATAAATGTCTGGCGAAAGCAATACAGACTAGCATTACAAGGTAACAAGACCATACAACAGTGATTTGTCCTCTTGCTAAAATTTAATTCCTTGTCGTCCACGAAATCAGAACTGTTTTGCACAGGAAGAAATGCATTTTTATCAAATAAACTTTGTAAGACAGAAAAGGATTTTGGAAGCTTACTTTTAAAGAATTGTCGTGGAGTTATAGCAATTTTCTATAGAAACGTCATTAGATGTAATTTATGTTTGATTTCATCAAACTATTACCTACTCTTTTTCAGATCAAACAAAAATTCCGAACAAAATTTTTGAGACAAAATGCGATATTTGTAATTTTCAACTTTTTGCTGACCCTGTAAATTCGAATTCCCCACACCCCCTTTCCCCCGAATCAAATTTGGATTAGTTATTCTATCATTTATCATTTGAAAGCATGCATTCGGCACTGAATCGGGGTAGTGGAAAAAGAGGAAATATCAACTTTCCTTGAAAAGTCTCAACTATTTTTGTCCGACATTATTGTATTAAATTTTTATTTCCTAACGCGTTTTAGCCCCATGACTGGCATTTCAATCGTTGTCACTTCTTCTTTATCGGCATAAAGGTTCAAATCTAAATTTTTCGAACTATTCGACATCATTGTGTTTATACAGCGGACGGCCGCATTTCGCATGTCCGCGCGGAATCTAGAGTCTGTCGCATACATACGGCGCTTAGTCAGGATCGTTGGCCAGTCTGCTTTTACGGGGAGATCTATCGTTGCATGGTAAAAATGCGGACTGATGAACGTAAGAAATCGGGTAGCCTTTGGTTGCCCTCGCGTTGCTTGGGTATTTTTGTACGGTAGAAAGATTTCCTCGTAGTTTTTTCGCGGATGGCAATGAATCATTACTAAACGGACTTGCAGTATGTTTGCAGCTGCCATCAGTACGTATTGTCTCCCAAATGTTGTTTCATGTCTTAGCTGCTGGATGAACGTCTCGTAATCCGGGATTCCCGAATCTTTGTCTATCAAAGTTTTGTAATACCACGGGTTCCGCTGGATTTCGTCGACAACTCTCGCGCGCATGGATTTCGTCACGTCAAAATTGACGTATCCCATGCTATCTTGAACAAACTGTAAACAATCGAATAAATGATTGCTGTCTTGAAAATTATTGACTTCTTCTAATCCAAGCTGAACGGCCAACCACCGAACAAATGTCTTGCTTTCTTCCAGTACTCGTGTTGGCACGACAAGAGCCCTCGTGCCGTCAACCGCGCCTCTTCTCGCGTAATTAAGACGCTTGAACTTCTTTCCTTGGCCCTTGATGCACGCTTTGACAGTCTCAAACATTACATTGCCGTCGCGAATGTTAGTACGAAGCAGGAGAATGCAGAACTGGAAATCCTTGAATCCTGGCATCCCTCCGTAGTACTCGGATGTGGATCCGAGTAAATCCGTCATATCGTTGCTCCCGAATAACTGCCGTCCGCACATCCACAGAACGCCGTTTGATGATAACAGGGTAATGCACAATACAATAAATGAGTTGCATAGCATTAGACCGTAGAGGAACAATGCAGGTGACAAGTTGCAACCAACGTCGTCAAAGTCAACCCCTATACCTTCTGTTTCGAAATAGCATTCAAAATTGACAGGAAAGCTCCATATGAAGTATATTGTGGTGAATACAGAGACCGTACTGCCTAAACCGGCGACTAGAAGGACCAATGTCTTAACTTTGTAGGTAGTCAAGAGATAGCTTTGTTCTGTCATCAGATACAGTAGTTTGTTATGCAGGATATCGATTTTGTCTTTGTTATGCGAATCAAATGTGAGCTCAGAAGCCATCTGAAACGTGTTCGGGTTTCTGTAGTATTTTGGTTTTACAGTGCACATCTCTTTGAAGATTGAGTAAAACGCGTCGAATTTCGAAAAGATAGCTGGATGCCTGAGCCAAGCGCTATGAATGCAACTCAGCAAGGCCCATTCGACAAACAAAGCATACGGGTAATGGACCAGGAATTTGCCAGTGAAAGAATACGCACACTTCGAATTGAGATATTTGATCTAGAAAGAACAAATTCGTAGCTTAAAACTGTTGCGAAGCCGCTTTATGTAGATGAGTCAATAATGTCATGCCTGATTTGTATGTTCGCTGTTTCGTTTAGCTTCAAGGTCGCTGACATAGAACAATAAACGGAGTTCTTGGCTCGTTTTGGTTTATTGTAAAGGTAATATGATACCACGATTCCTGATTCGTATCGTATTATCGTTATGCCTTGTTTGTACCATATTATCACAGCGTGTAGTTTGCATCGCATTATCGTTATAGCAACTTGTATCGTAGTATCGTAATATCGGGTTGGTATCTTAATATCGTAATATCGGGTTGGTATCTTAATATCGTAATGTCTAGTTGGTATCCTAATATCGTAATGTCTACTGGTATTTTAATATCGTAATGTCTAGTTGGTATCTTTATATCGTAATGTTTACTTGGTATCGTGTAATGTTTTGAATAAATTAACATATTATTATGACGTAACGGTACTTAGAGTTAGTTGTAGAGCACGAGGCGAGGGAGTAAAACGTGTTACATGTGAGCACATGATTAGGCCCTTTTTAACAACATAACATTTGGCGACGAGGATTAAAACAAAAAGCAGATAACGTGGAGGGAAAGCACATGCCATTTCTGTTAAGTTTCAGAATTTAAGATGGCGACGGCAGCACGATTAGATTTATTACCGCTTCCACCGTTCGACCCAGTGTCCGACCCGACGTCCATAAGCCAACGATGGCAACATTGGAAACGCCGTTTCGAAACATATTTACTTGCGGTAAATATAACTGATGATGCTCAGAAACGTGCCTTACTGTTGTACCAAGCAGGTGCCGCCACTCAAGAAATTTTCGATTCTCTCCCAGTTGAGCAAGATGAAGCTACAGATTACAATACAGCGTTGGCAAAACTTGACACTTACTTTGCCCCGCAGAAAAATGTCGACTTTGAAATTTTTCAATTTCGCTAAGCCAAACAGAAGATTGGAGAAACTACTGATCAATTTGCTACACGACTTCGCAAACTTGCTACAAATTGTGAATTTACAGATTTAGATAAGGAAATTAAATCTGCGATTATACAAAACTGCTCGTCTAAGCAACTCAGAAGGCTTGCTTTGCGGGAAGAGAAGCTTACACTTGCCGTGTTGTTATCAAAAGCACGTATTCTGGAAGCCAGCGATACACAAGCTAAAGATATAGAAGAAAGTCTCATGCAGGTAGAAACCGCCCAGCTGGTTCGTAAGCCTCAGCTGAAAACCTGTTTCAACTGTGGTTTTTCATGGCCTCACCGTACTTCCCCTTGCCCCGCCAATACTCAAAGTTGTCGCAAATGTGGGCGTGTTGGACATTTTGCTAAAGTCTGTAAAAGCCGCGCGAAACAACCGCGTGCCGTTAATGACCCGCTTACGCAAGACCATAAGAAAGGAGGTCATAAATTCGCAAATCAAAAAGGAAAAAATACATCATGTACATGGAAAAGCACCTCAACATACACAAGAGCCTACTCCAGAGTCTAGCAGCGACGAAGGTTATTTGTTTACGTGCGATGATCAACGCGAAATAAAGATGCCACAAGTCCGTGTAAAAATTAATAACACCCCTGTGAAAATGATTTTGGATACAGGAGCATCGATCGATATTTTGGATGAATCAACATTTCATCAGGTCAAGGCAGCTAAGAATATCCATCTTTCTCGTTCAACGACAAAGCTTTTTGCATCTGGTTCTGAACAACAGCTTCCAGTTTTGGGAAAATTTCATGCCACGATCGAAACAAAGGACCGAATCGCGCCCGTTTGCCTACATGTGGTTCGGGGAAATTCTGGATCTTTGCTCAGTTACACAACGGCTGCTGACTTAAATTTGATTCAGATTAAGCTAAATGCAGTGAAAACAGGACAATCTACCCCTGCCACTACCGAGAATTTGGAAGCCACATACCCAAAACTATTTGATGGAATAGGAAAGCTTAAAGACCGTGAAATCAA